CAAAGTCACTTTGAATAGAAGCCTCTTGCAAATGCATAAGCAAGGCCTAAATGTAAGCGTAGAGCATTCCAGATGCTGCCTTTAAAGGTAGCTGCTTATTTGGACAGGGAGCTGGTTGGTTTTGGAACAGAGCCAGAGTCGGGCCGTGTGGCACAACCTCACGTCCTTTATCCTCTGGCAGCCGTCGTACATCCGTCTTCACGCCCGTTTTAAAGGATTTCTACCAAATTTAGTGCTCAGATTAAAACAGTGGTTCTGAAAATAGTACCGTGGCGCCCTCTGAATGTCTCCAGGAGGGCGTCTCCTCGTCCGCAGGGGTGCGCTGGGTCTGCTCTCCACGCCAGTGTGGGTGCGCTGGGTCTGCACGTCCACGCCAGTGTGCCAGTGTGGGTGCGCTGGGTCTCGTCCGCAGGGGGTAAGGGTGCGCTGGGTCTGCACGTCCACGCCAGTGTGTGTGCGCTGCAGAAAGACGGCTAAAGGAGATGAAAAGCCTCTGTATATACTAAATGACCCATGAGGCCATGAACTCGCTTCTTGTCGCATTATTTTTCTGCAACCAATGACTTATGAAAAGCAAACATGTCAGTCTGACCTCTATTGTGATTTCTGAGTGGTTATACAATTGACATTGTACTATTCATCATGAATTCAGCAAAAAGGAGCCAAAAAGGAGCCAAAAAGATAAAATGTCAGCCAAGACTATATTAAAACCAGACTATGTCCAGACACTGAGTCAAAGATTTGATGACAATCAGACAAAACTGACCCAATTGAATTGCATTTATTTATGCCAACTGGATTTTTCTTCTTTTCAATTTCAACTATTTAATAATAAAACAAACATTTCTACTTTTTATATATAATTATAGATTTTTTTTAATTAAGAAGGGATGCGTTAAATTGCCCAAAACATTTCCAGCTTTGCATCATTTGAATGAAATTACATTTTACTGACTTCTTTCAAAAACATTGGGGAAAAAATGAAATGAAAAAAAAAAACGAAGAAAAAAACGGTGTGTGTGTGTATATATATATATATAGTTTTGCAAAATACAAATATGACATTGATTTAATATTTATGGACTTATCAACTGTCATTTCTGCATACACCATTTATTACTGACAATACGTTTTCGTTTCAGTAAATGATGACCACAAGGCGACTTTTACTGCAAAACCTTTTTATTTCAACTGACCGCAGAGTATTTTACAGGGGAGCATTTGTTCATAAATAAAGGTGCTGGAAAGCACAGCTGTTTGCTCATACAAAATTAAAAAAAGAACATATCATACACTATCTACACACGCCACTTCCTGCTGAGCGGCGCTTAAGAAGGATTGTCAGAAATCCATTTGCACACATTAAATTCTAAAAGAGTTACATTTTTGCATGACATACGCGACAGGCGTTTCATAGGAGAACCCGCGTTGAATGTCAGTCACGGATGTGTCGGTATCATGACCCTCTCTGTATTACAACCTTCTCCATCTCAAGGCCTGAAATCTCATCGTCCATTCATGGCACGTCTTCAATTCAAAATAAGCCTTTTTTTCACACACATATGACTTCTGAATATAGCAACTGACCAATCAGCAGCTCTGAATTTGACTGGGTCATGAGGACACTCGCCCAAGTCCAAGCTGCTAAACTGCTAATACGACCCTCAAAACTGTGCAAAACAATAAAAAACAAAGCTTTTTTCTTGCAGAAAAGACATGCAGATTTATTGTTCCCATCTTAAAGGCAGCTATAAAAGTGTTTCAGCACCAATTCTGCTCAGGCAAACTTCATCAAAACATCACAATCAATCAAACCTTCTTGGAAAGGGAAAATACTCGGTATCAATACACTCAAACACACCTACACAAGCAGACAGCAACACGGACGGCACACTTCTACACAACTACAGCTTCACTCATGGACACAGACACCTAAAGCTTGCCATGTCATATGCCATTACTTTAGCCAATTCTCTTTATTTTTTTCCCCTTCAATTTAATGTTTTGTCCTTCTCTACAAACGTGTGTTTGTAGATGAGGTGCAACCTGGACTGAAAAAAAATAATACAGATTTTACGGGGAAAACAATTAAAGTAGCACGTGAAATTGTATGCAGTATGTAATCATTTTCAAATGTAGTCACATGATCTCATTAGGTTGTAAGTTTAATTCAGTTCCATCCTTATAAAGTTCTTTAAAAGAGTTATTTTGCATCTTTAATGCAATTTTGTGGTTATCATAGGGTATTTCATGCATATAGAACATTTTATGCACAGCACACTATACATAACACTGCAAAAAAAAAAAATTCTTAGCATTTTTCATCCTGTTTTCCAGTAATTTATTAATCAAGTTACATTAACTTAAGCAAAATGACATGAGAAATGAAGTCTTGTTTTCTGAAGAAGTTTTATGCACAAATATCTGCCAACGATTCCCTTTTGAATTAAAAGTACTTTTCTTATCCCACTGGCAGATATATTTTATCTTTTTAAAGCTTAAACTCACTTAATATTTGTCATTTTGATTTAAGAATGTGTAGATATTTGTACTGGATAACAAGTCAAAAGCACTAAATATTAAATCATTTTTTTGCAGTGTACTGCAGCAATAGAGTAGATTGGCAGTACGCCATTTCAAACAGCGTAAAAACTATAATAGTAGTACGAATAGTAATACCGAATTGTAGGATAGTAGTACTGAAACGTGACTCTTTCTGACTGGCAGAATCCCTCATAACTTCTGTCAGACGGTTGTTCCCTCAACACTCATTCACAGTACGCTGTCGCCCTCTGCAGTGCTGCTCTGCTACTGAAAGTCAACTCTTAGTTGCATAAAGTTGGAAATAAATAAATAGCCAATACATCGAACGCCCTCATCAATACCAATAACATCTGAAAGCCTTTCACAGTAACAACAAGCTTTTTCAGGAGTAGTTCAAACTGAAAACAGCTTCATGAACTAGTGCTGAGAAATCTGACAAGCAAAAACACACAATATAAAAAGTCATAGACGGTTGTTTAAAAAAAAAAGAATCATATTCAATTTAAAAAGTCCTAAAGCTGAAGAGATAAGGAATACTTTGGCTTAAATAAACATTGTCAATGACAACAGAAGAAAAGAGCAAAGGGAATCATTTCCCATGATCCTGTGTGTTTCAGTGACTTTGACGTCACTTTTTTCATACAATACATCGTTTTAGACCCACATATGAAATGAACTGTTAATACACAAAAAAATGTATTTGTTTAGTAATGCTTAAATACAAAAATAAACAGGTGGAGTTTGGTATCAGTCGTCGGAGAGATTCAAAGGCTACATGATATGAAAAATGTAAACAACACTTCAAAATTATTAAATCATTTGAAAAATGGATGCAGTTGAGTTTGTTCTTGTTTGAAAAATTATATATATATATTATAATACATTATAATATTTGCATTTGTAAGGTATTATGAAAAACTTTATAATGCATTAAAATACATTTAAAATGCATTATATATATATAACTATTATAATGTATTATAATACTTTCCTATTCATAGATACAGTTTTAACAGCAGCATAACATTTCATATAATACATTAATTTCTGTTTTTAATGCATTATACTCTTTATACTGTTTGTTGTGGGTGGTTGTTAGGCGGCTTTAAAATTAAAATTAAATAAACTCACTTTATTATGAAGCTTTATCTGTACACCAGGTAAAAAGCGTTCTCATTCACACCCGATATTTAATACAAGTTTGTTCGAATCCCTAACCATCAATATTAAGAGCAATAAATAATAGTGATTCTTGCCTTGGTAACTGATTATTCTGCATACTACTGTATAAGGTTTCATAAATACCTTTATGATACATAAAGCTTCATAGAAAGTGCTAGCGAATAAATATAAAAAAAATAAAAATGCAAACATTTACATTCAAAACAAATCGAATAGTCTTCAACTATAAGGTTTAATGAAAATTAAACGCGTGGGGGAAAAAATACAATGTTTTATCAATAATAAAGCCAGTGGCAGCAGCGAGGTATCGTAAAACACACCGCTGTCGTCACACTCCACACCGGCCGCGAAACACTCTCCGTTTAACATGTCCGCTCCTGTTCCTTACAGAACTCGAGTTTATAATGTTTTGGTGGAAACTTATGGAAGGCAAATTATTAACAGTGTAATTTCACACGTCTGTTGGCAAAGACCCGCAAGCGGCCGCTTTCATTATGGCATCAGTGTGCCCTTCCACGCGACAGCTTTCAAGTAGGCTACAATACATTTGTCCAAGTATCATATAACAATATTCAGAATAAACCTGTGATGCCAATGCAAAGGAGAAAATCACCTCACATAGTCATACGCCAACCTCTCAAACTGTGTAGAACGAGTCCAGGACGAAGGAGTCTGTCTTGTCTTTTAAGGCCTGAGGTTTAAGTCCCCTTATTCGAGTAGGGAGAGTATTGCCACAGTAATGCTGGATAAAATGGGTTATACATAAAGACTTTGATTACTATGAAATACCATTTGTACAAGCTCAGATTTGAATGTGTACAGGGCAGGGAATGGGAATCCATGATATAATCCCAGGTGATGGATTACATCATAACAGAACAAAAAGTTTTAGACCATAGTGACTTTTCCAATACTTGTCGTCTTTGATTTTAAACTAACATTTGATTAAATACTAGAGTTAAAAAATCACACTGATGTTCCACTGTTTCCATTTTATAAATAAGGCATTTTTCCATCATGGATACATTTAAATAGGTTACAAGAGACCAGATTACTCCTTAACCTCCTTAAATTAAGGTCCATTGCATAACCTTCAGATCTTACACTTTTTAGACAGTTTTCAAAATGCAGAAAGTGCTAAGTGGAAGCCATTTCTTATGGAGAAGAAAACTGGATGTGATAATACTGTTGGACTAGAGTGAAGATCAATAATCATTTCATTAATATAATCAATTCATTTATACCTCAGCTGAGCAGAATTAGAAAATGTTTATGGGTGTTTTCCCACACTGATTAAGGATACATAGACAGATAGACAAATTATTAGAGGATGCTTTTGATGCATCCATCTTGGCTTTATGGCCCAACACCACTCAGTTTACATAAAGCTGAAGCAATCCGTGTGCAAAAACAAAACACATGTTCAGCAAAAATGAACAGACATCCCAAGATTCATCTCAATCCTCCATCGAGGCAGTTGGCACGTTGAGTGAGTTTCAGTCATTGGCCTATAATGCTGTTTTTGCTTCTTGAAAAGTTCAATTCTCCAAGAGGTGCCACTCCAGAGGGTTTCATATAGTGGTCCATTGGCCATTGACTCCTAAAGCTCATTTCTTTGCACCACAGGCCAAACCTCTGTGGTTTAACCACACTCACCTCGAGCCCGGCTCTTCTGCCGGCTGATTGGCTGTTAGGTGTGTCAATCAATGATGCTTTCCGTCCGTTCAAAGAGTGGCCAAGATCCGTGAGAATGAAATGATGACGGTGAAAGCGGTCTGGCCCACCCCGAACACCAGGGCTTCAAGAGGAGCCATGTCCTTCCCTGCCACACGGTACACAGCCGCCACTGCCGCACCTGACACAGGACAGATGACAATTATAATACATGAAGACAAACTTTGGTTTCGGCTTGAGAAATTATATTCTGAAAGTGTGTGGTTGCTAGGTGGTTTCTATGCAGTTGCTGAGGTGTCCTGGGTGGTTACTAGACGGTTGCTGAGTGTTAAGGGTGCATGCTAGTAGTGATGTGGCCGAAGCCGAATACTATCCCAGCTAACAATTTTTGGTTCCCAGAACATTCGCAGAACATTAATATTTGGTTCCCAGAACATTCTTTTTTTAAGGTTTGTTTGTGGTTAGCCAGAAAAGTTTTCTCAACGTAAATAGAACGCAAGTTTTTGGTTTTTGAACGTTATTCTAACATTGCTTTAACGTTCCCCTAACATTATTTAAACGCTGTTCTAACGTTCCTCAAACCTCTTTACTCCAATACCATTACCCCAGTTGCAAAATAATAACCTAAAAATAACCTAAAGTTATTTCCCTGCAACGTTCTGGGAACATTATTTTACGGTTGCAAAAATTAAAACCTAAAAAGAGCGTTCCTGGAACGTTATTATTTGGTTCTCAAAAAAATAACCAAACGGGAACCAAATATTAACGTAAGGGGAACGTTCTGTGTTTGCTGGGATGTTTGGAAAGGAAACAACGCATTCTACAAAGCCCCTAAAGGAACATAGTGATGGGAAAAAGATTATAAGGAGATATGTGACAATGACGCTCAGGAATGTTGCACACCAAATCCTCCGACATCGTCCTGTCAGTCATCTCTCCTTGCGATCTTCACATGATAAGTGAAAGCTGATGTACTGTAACTACCGCAATAAGCCTAACAATGTCCCTTTAGGGGCTCCGTAGAATGCATTTTTCATTTTTCATGCCTTTCCGAATTCGGATTTAGGCTTCGGGTACATCTCTAGTTGCTAGGGTGTTGTTACGCAGTTGCTAGGGTGCTCTGTGTGATTGCTATGCAAACCATATATAATTAGTAATTTATACAGTTTAAAATGAAAATTAAACTTGGTGTGAAATTATTTTTCAATTATACTGTAGGTGTTTAGGGAATGGGAAGGCAAAGTTGATAATTAAATTACACATAACCTCCGAGATCTTCAAGTCTACAGAGCCACGAAAGAGCAACATCTGAATGATAAAATCTTCCTCTGGGAAATCCCACGTCTAAAATTGAAATAGAGATGACTGTGACTGTGGTTGTTTGCAAAGTTGATATATTTTAAGCCATAATAATACATCTATAAGGGGCTGCATTCTACACGTTTGTACATTTAAAATCCCAAAACAGTCATAATCTAGCTTGACTATGACTATGTTTTAACTTCTCTCTGACCCTTACAATTAAACAGGCTGTTTTTGCTTCTGTTTTCTTCTATATGTAAATGCTCTTTCTTATGATTGAATACCATCCTCGGATATGAAACGTGTCACAACATGCCCACCATGTTGCTGAAAACTGGAAACATGAGTTGATATATAAATGTGGGTCATCAAATGTTAATAAATAAAAGATTTCCACCAAAAATCACTAGACTGGATATCACTTTAGCCTGCATGGCTCAGCAATTTATGTTCTCTAAGCATACCTCTGACTTAATAAATATTTTAGTGACATGATTCAATGTGTTTGTTTAAAAGCCTGTGTACTGTAGGTTAAAGGCATAGTTCGCCCAAAAATGAAAATTCTGTCATTATTTACTCATCCTCATGTCGTTCCAAACCCATTTTTCATTCATAGTTGACTTTCATTCATCTTCAAAACACAAATGGAGATATTTTTATTGAAATCTGAGAGATTTCTGTCCCTCCATTGACAGCTACGCAACTACCAGCTCATAAAGAGATTGTAAAACTAATCCATATGAATTGAGAGGGTTATTCCAAATTTTTTTAAGAGATACGATCACTTTATATGATTGAATTTAGGCTTTATTTCACATATAAACATTCATCAACTCACACATCAGTTGTGGTAAAGGGAAGCTCCAGCATGTTCGCTTGACGTGCAAGAACCAATGAGGTTCATTCTCGTGTTACGCAGCACGTTTGAGCTTCTGCGAGAACCAATGAGGTTCATTCTCGTGTTACGCAGCACGTTTGAGCTTCTGCGAGAACCAATGAGGTTCATTCTCGTGTTACGCAGCACGTTTGAGCTTCAGCAAGAACCAATGAGGTTCATTCTCGTGTTACGCAGCACATTCGAGCTTCAGCAAGAACCAATGAGGTTCATTCACGTGTTACGCAGCACGTTTGAGCTTCTGTAAGAACCAATGAGGTTCATTCTCGTGTTACGCAGCACGTTTGAGCTTCAGCAAGAACCAATGAGGTTCGTTCTCGTGTTACGCAGCACGTTTGAGCTTCTGTAAGAACCAATGAGGTTCATTCTCGTGTTACGCAGCACGTTTGAGCTTCTGCGAGAACCAATGAGGTTCATTCTCGTGTTACGCAGCACGTTTGAGCTTCAGCAAGAACCAATGAGGTTCATTCTCGTGTAACGCAGCACGTTTGAGCTTCAGCAAGAACCAATGAGGTTCATTCTCGTGTAACGCAGCACGTTTGAGCTTCTGCAAGAACCAATGAGGTTCATTCTCGTGTAACGCAGCACGTTTGAGCTTCTGCAAGAACCAACGAGGTTCATTCACGTGTTACGCAGCACGTTTGAGCTTCAGCAAGAACCAATGAGGTTCGTTCTCGTGTTACGCAGCACGTTTGAGCTTCTGCGAGAACCAATGAGGTTCATTCTCGTGTTACGCAGCACGTTTGAGCTTCTGCGAGAACCAATGAGGTTCATTCTCGTGTAACGCAGCACGTTTGAGCTTCTGCAAGAACCAATGAGGTTCATTCTCGTGTAACGCAGCACGTTTGAGCTTCAGCAAGAACCAATAAGGTTCATTCTCGTGTTACGCAGCACGTTTGAGCTTCAGCAAGAACCAATAAGGTTCATTCTCGTGTTACGCAGCACGTTTGAGCTTCTGCAAGAACCAATGAGGTTCATTCTCGTGTTACGCAGCACGTTTGAGCTTCTGTAAGAACCAATGAGGTTCATTCACGTGTTACGCAGCACGTTTGAGCTTCTGCAAGAACCAATGAGGTTCATTCTCGTGTTACGCAGCACGTTTGAGCTTCTGCAAGAACCAATGAGGTTCATTCTCGTGTTACGCAGCACGTTTGAGCTTCAGCAAGAACCAATGAGGTTCATTCTCGTGTTACGCAGCACGTTTGAGCTTCTGCAAGAACCAATGAGGTTCATTCACGTGTTACGCAGCACGTTTGAGCTTCTGCAAGAACCAATGAGGTTCATTCTCGTGTTACGCAGCACGTTTGAGCTTCTGCAAGAACCAATGAGGTTCATTCACGTGTTACGCAGCACGTTTGAGCTTCTGCAAGAACCAATGAGGTTCATTCTCGTGTTACGCAGCACGTTTGAGCTTCTGTAAGAACCAATGAGGTTCATTCTCGTGTTACGCAGCACGTTTGAGCTTCTGCAAGAACCAATGAGGTTCATTCTCATGTTACGCAGCACGTTTGAGCTCCTGCAAGAACCAATGAGGTTCATTCACGTGTTACGCAGCACGTTTGAGCTTCTGCAAGAACCAATGAGGTTCATTCACGTGTTACGCAGCACGTTTGAGCTTCTGTAAGAACCAATGAGGTTCATTCTCGTGTTACGCAGCACGTTTGAGCTTCAGCAAGAACCAATGAGGTTCGTTCTCGTGTTACGCAGCACGTTTGAGCTCCTGCAAGAACCAATGAGGTTCATTCACGTGTTACGCAGCACGTTTGAGCTTCTGTAAGAACCAATGAGGTTCGTTCTCGTGTTACGCAGCACGTTTGAGCTCCTGCAAGAACCAATGAGGTTCATTCACGTGTTACGCAGCACGTTTGAGCTTCTGTAAGAACCAATGAGGTTCATTCTCGTGTTACGCAGCACGTTTGAGCTTCAGCAAGAACCAATGAGGTTCGTTCTCGTGTTACGCAGCACGTTTGAGCTCCTGCAAGAACCAATGAGGTTCGTTCTCGTGTTACGCAGCACGTTTGAGCTTCTGTAAGAACCAATGAGGTTCATTCTCGTGTTACGCAGCACGTTTGAGCTTCTGCAAGAACCAATGAGGTTCATTCTCGTGTTACGCAGCACGTTTGAGCTTCTGCAAGAACCAATGAGGTTCATTCTCGTGTTACGCAGCACGTTTGAGCTTCTGCAAGAACCAATGAGGTTCATTCACGTGTTACGCAGCACGTTTGAGCTTCTGCAAGAACCAATGAGGTTCATTCTCGTGTTACGCAGCACGTTTGAGCTCCTGCAAGAACCAATGAGGTTCATTCACGTGTTACGCAGCACGTTTGAGCTCCTGCAAGAACCAATGAGGTTCATTCTCGTGTTACGCAGCACGTTTGAGCTTCTGCAAGAACCAATGAGGTTCATTCTCGTGTTACGCAGCACGTTTGAGCTTCTGCAAGAACCAATGAGGTTCATTCTCGTGTTACGCAGCACGTTTGAGCTTCTGCGAGAACCAATGAGGTTCATTCTCGTGTTGCGCAGCACGTTTGAGCTCCTGCAAGAACCAATGAGGTTCATTCACGTGTTACGCAGCACGCTTGAGCTTCAGCAAGAACCAATGAGGTTCGTTCTCGTGTTACGCAGCACGTTTGAGCTTCTGTAAGAACCAATGAGGTTCATTCTCGTGTTACGCAGCACGTTTGAGCTTCAGCAAGAACCAATGAGGTTCGTTCTCGTGTTACGCAGCACGTTTGAGCTTCTGTAAGAACCAATGAGGTTCATTCACGTGTTACGCAGCACGTTTGAGCTTCAGCAAGAACCAATGAGGTTCGTTCTCGTGTTACGCAGCACGTTTGAGCTTCTGTAAGAACCAATGAGGTTCATTCTCGTGTTACGCAGCACGTTTGAGCTTCTGCAAGAACCAATGAGGTTCATTCTCGTGTTACGCAGCACGTTTGAGCTTCTGCAAGAACCAATGAGGTTCATTCTTGTGTTACGCAGCACGTTTGAGCTTCTGCAAGAACCAATGAGGTTCATTCTCGTGTTACGCAGCACGTTTGAGCTTCTGCAAGAACCAATGAGGTTCATTCTCGTGTTACGCAGCACGTTTGAGCTTCTGCAAGAACCAATGAGGTTCATTCTCGCGTTACGCAGCACGTTTGAGCTTCTGTAAGAACCAATGAGGTTCATTCTCGTGTTACGCAGCACGTTTGAGCTTCTGCAAGAGGTTTGTTCTCGCGTGTCAAGCAGGTTCCTTTGAGCTTATGTTTATGTTCGCTAATCAATGTTTAGCTCTCAGATTTCATTAAAAAGATATTCATTTGTGTTTCGAAGATGAACAAAAAACTAATGGGTTTGGAATGACATGAGGGTGAGTAATCATTTTTGGGTAAATTAACCCTTTAATGTATACAGAATGTATATTAATATTAATGTTTATGGCTGTGTGTGAGCTACTCACACAGCGATATACATTAATATTCATATACATACGGTATACATTAAAGGGTTAATAACCCTTTAAAAAATTGTCATCAATTACACACACACACACACACACACACACATATTAACTAGGGCTGGGACTCGATTAAAAAAATTAATCTAATTAATTAGAGGCTTTGTAATTAATTAATCGAAATTAATCGCATTTTAATCGCATAAATATTTGACCTGAGAACTGTGAGAAGTCATTTTTTTCACATGGATTTTTAGTATACCATTGAATAATGACTGCATACATAAGCTTAAGCAACAAAATATTGTTTATTTTTGTTCAACCAAGTCCAGCAGACCAGTGCAATTTTTGCCATTAAGTGTAGCAATAGCATATTGCAACAAAATAGCATATTGCTACACTACACTAATAGCACTACACTAATAGCCATAATAGCCATTAAGTGTAGCAATAGCATATTGCAACAAAATAGCATATTGCTAGACTACACTAATAGCAATAGCGAATTCCTTGTTGCATAGCTTGCACACAACCATGCTCTTATCGACGCGTCCATCCGTTCGTTTTTTGTAACAACATTTCCCAGCCACCGGCCAACCAAAGCGATCTCGTCAGCTTCTTCGTCATGAACGCTAGTTGGTGCGCCAGTATAATCGGTCCGCCGAAACTCATCCAGTGAGAAACGTTCCGCGGTGCAAAAATAAGTGCGATTAAAAATAATTTTTTGTGTAATTAATTAACGCGTTAAAGTGTGTAATTAATTAATCTTAATTAACGCGTTAAAGTCCCGGCCCTAATATTAACTGACTAAATGTTTCTGTCACTATCTTTCTCTCTCTCTCTCTCTCTCTCGGCCAGATCCATATTAATATTAAAGCAGACCTCTGGGAATGGGCACTTCGGCATAGGGTTATTTTTGAATCAAACTACATTTGTGCTAGACTGGAGAACAGCTAACAGCTATAGTTCATTGACACCCAGCCCGACTAGACAATGTCCCAAAACATATTCCATTCTAATGCATTTTATCAGTCACAGATAGATACTCTCTAGAAACCACACAGAACACATCAGCAACTGCATAGCAACACCCCAGCAACCTTCCAGAACACACTAGCATCAAGGCGGTGAACTTTGCATGAGAAAATGTAAAAACTTAGTTGGATCAGAAACATTTCCCAGTCTCACGGTGACTTGATTACAACAGCACAATTGTGCGTTAATGAATCATGCACAAAAAGACCATGCACATTTATTCATTTGAAGTTCATGTTGTGTTCGAGAACATGCACACTTGACTTAATGTGCTAATATTGTCCGATAAGAAGAGCAGAAGTGTGTGAGTACTGACTGGTGATGACCCCTCCGGTGAGCGAGGCCAGGAAGCCCACGCTGATGAGCACCAGTGTGATGAGCCGTCCTCTCTTATGACGCTGCAGCGTCACACACATCAGCAGACCCACGGCGCTGTGAACCAACAGAGAGGAGAATAGACACCACAGGAACACCCAGTACCACATTTCTGCAGAGAAAACACACACAGAGAAAGAGAGAGAGAGCTGCATTAGCTGCATTTTATTCAGGAAGCACATGCATGAATGTGTCAGATGCATGGTCATAAAATTGTATTTAAAATGTTTAACTTTTGGCTGTTCAATTCAAGAATGAGTCAGTTGAGTCAAAAGATACAAACAGTTGATTCTGGATGCATATTGTGCACAGTAAACATAAATCATTTTGCAAAAGTAGAATAGTAATTTGTGCATGTTTTTTTCTTTAAAAAGTTCTGCTTCCTGCTTCTTGAGTGAAGAGGAACTACAATGTGTTAAAGAAACACTAACACAGTTCTGCAACACACTTTATGTCTATTTATTAAAGTTAACAGATTCCAACAGTTTTTTGTTATATCACATTAATCTGTCATTTATTCGAATTACTTTTAAAAAATCCCTTTTATGTGACTTTATTGTTTCACCCTCATCCCACACCCAGACTTTCCAAGTATATTTGATTATACACAAATTATGACTGTCACCAGCAATTTTCCCACTAATATAATCTATGACTTTAAAGGTAGTGTACTTGGTTACCAAGGAGAAGAGCAGGAGATGAAGACAAAGGTTAAATTTTGTTCTTTCGCACTTTCTACTTATCAAACAATCATGAAAAAAATGCATCACAGTTTCCACCAAAATAGGAAGCAACACAACTGATTTCAACATTGATAATAATAAGACATTTTTCTTGAGCAGCAAATCATCATATTAGAATGATTTCTGAAGGATCATGTGACTCTGAAGACTGGAGTAATGATGCTGAAAATTTTGCTTTGATCACAGGAATAAATTACATTTCAAAAATGTAAAATCGTTATTTTAAATTGGAAAAATATTTCATAATATTACTGTTTTGACTGTATTTTTTTAATCAAATAAGCCTTGGTAAGCAGAAGAGACAAGAATCCATAAAAAAATCTATGTCCCGTGATTCCTACCACACGTACCGTAACAGTAATGAGGTAAAAAAGCAAATATCACCTGTAATTTTTTTTTTGTCATTTCCAATCAAGCTGTAATTTTGTCAAGTTACGCAAAAAAAGCCTGAAAATATAATTAATTGTGTGTGTGTAGGAATGCTGGAATTGAAATTTGCCACAGCAAGACAAATGAATGAGTCAGTCCAAAATGTTTCAAATGTGATTTCCACCACATAATATTATTAAACACAATTTCAGATGTGGTGCACCTGGCACATGACATTTGTTGGCAAATAATAATAATAATAATAAATCAGTGGGGAAATACATCTACTATGATGTATGGATATGCACACTTGGAACAAAGTAAATTAAATAAACAAAAATTGTATAAATGTTCACAAGACCATGCTCATGAAGAAATGCTTGTGAGAGTCTCCAGTCAGAACCCATCTTAACCGAGCAGAACACATTGTACTTACAACAGTGAACCTCGATAAATACTCTCCCGCTATCACCAACCTCGCTTTCTCATAAACTGTCTGGTCCACTTTCATAAACTCTCTCTCTTTAACACTCCATTTACGTCTCTCAGTCCTCCATTGGCTTGGAGACAGGTATTATTTAAGTGCCTAGTCCACACAGATCAGAGGAGAGTACATGGACAGTCTGTCTCCACTGAGAGAATCAGACGGCTCCGGATCGTTCCAGAAGACGCCATGACATGGACGAGCATCTTTGCTCAACAACATAACTGATTATCAAACTGCTGTTGTCATGAACTCTGGGAAATGCAGCTCCACATAATGCTGGAGAAACCAACACGCTCGGGCAGAAATACTGCTGACAGCTTTAATTTAACATGTCAAAGCAAACGCGTCAAATAACCAACTGCATAGTTGCACATGGAACGCTGTATAGTGCTGATCAGAGCGTTTGTACCCTGAAGCATGAAGAGACGTTGTGCCATTAACACCCTGTGTTCATTCAGCACAGAAATGAATTTTCAGCATCATTCCTCCAGTCTTCAGTGTCACATGATCCTTCAAATCATTCTAATATGCTGATTTGCTGCTCAAGAAACATTTCTGATCATTATAAATGAGGAAAACCATTTTTGCTGCTTAACATTTCTGTGGAAACTGTGAAACACTACTGTCCAATAGTTTGGAGTATGTTTTTTGAAAGAAATTAATACCTTTATTCAGCAAGGACACAAAAAAATCTACAAAAATATGAAGCAGCAAAACATGTTTTCGATATATAAATTGTTTCTTGAGCAACTCAAGCATATTCTCAGCTTATTAGAATGATTTTTCACACACACACACACACACACACACACACACACACACACACACACACACACACACACACACACACACACACACACACACACACACACACACACACACACACACACACACACACACACACACACACACACATGTTGTGTTTTCATGTTTTATGGGGACTTTCCATAGACATAATGATTTTTATACTGTACAGACTGTATATTCTATTCCCTTACACTAACCCTATCCCTAAACCTACCCATCACAGGAAACATTCTGCATTTTTACATTTTCAAACAACATCACTTAGTATGATTTATAAGCTGATTTCCTCATGGGGACCAAAAAATGTCCCCACACGAACAAGGATTTCGGATATTGCCATCCTTGTGGGGACATTTTGTCCCCATAACGTAGGGTTTACCAGGCCACACACACACACACACACACACACACACACACACAGTATGTATATATATATATATGGTCTGTCTAAAGATTCTGATTTAATTTAATGCACAGGTAGGTTCAAGTCAGTTTAATCACCATTCTATATTAATGCGCTGCTTTCATTATTTTATAAATATTAATAAATTAACTTTGCTACTGAATCGCCAGATTATATTACTCAGCAAGGACGTTGTAGTTTTTTTAAATAATTAAACTCACAGCTTCATTCCTAGAAGACAGACACTGCAAAGATGCAGGTAATTCACACACACACACTAACACACACATCTCTCTCTCTCTATATTTATTTGAATGAATCTCTCACGATAGGCTGATTTATTCAAATAAATGTTATAATTTAATCAAATAAATGTAACCTTTCCGCGCTACTTTATCTCTGTGTCTGATTTAAAGCTGACAGACAGAATGCTAGATCTAATAAGTGGTAGCTGATATATACTGTACTGTATATTCTCTGTGCATTAGATCATGAGTGACATGTGAAGGTCAAGTATGATAACCTATACTGTATTTAAACCAACCAAGTAAGTGCACACACATTAGGAGTAGTGAACACACACACAGTAAACCATGGACAGCCCTTTTTGCTGTGGCGCTCGGGGAGCGATTGGGTGTTAGGTGCCTTGTTCAAGGTCAAGGTCCTGTCATTTCCTGCAGGTATTGAGAATCGAACCCGCAACCTTTGAGTTACCAGTCTGACTCACTAACCATTAGGCCATGACTAACAGTCATGAGTCATGAACTGACACAAACACAATGTATTGATTAAGCTATAAGCTGCCGCTCACATGCTAAGTGAGACGTAACGTCCAGACAGAGAAGGCTTTTGTGCTGGAGGTCTGTAAACACACACACACACACACACTGTTATCAGTAAACTGAGCCAGACTGGGCAGAAAAGCGTCAGATCATCCATGCTGTGCCAGGAACACTGCTGCAGTTCTGAGGTGAGGTGGCAATGCCTAACAAAAAGCACCGAGAACACACAAATACTGAGACAATTTAGCAATGCGATGCAGGAAAACAGACACTTTAGCCCAAATCTGCTGGAAGAGAGAGAGAGTGAAAAAGACTTAAACACAGAGATATAGAAGGTATAAAACTGAATGATGCTGATGGAAAGTATTCCTTCAATGAACTACTGACCCACATTGCCAGTTACTACAGAGAGACACTCATTTTTACCTACAAATGCATGTAACACTATTAAACTATGAAGAACCAAACAGAAGTAAACACTGAACAGAAACGCGTGACAGGTTATGATAGGTTACTCTAACAACATAGATCATCAGGACATATTTTGAAGGTCATATTGTCAAAACAAGAGGGCGGGGTCAATGTAAAGCGTTTGGCTTGTGAAAGGCCTCTTTGAACACCCTGGGTTTTCGTCGTGTCAACAAAGCAGTTTCCGGGGTGACAAGAGCCTCTTTTGTCAGGGTGTCAATGGTCATAGTCAGTGACAATGTTCCACAACATCAGCACAGGACAAACAGACCAAATTCATATTTCAATTAAGCGAGCACACATAAACAAACATGCTATAACCTAGCGCTATCTAACTCTGTGGCGAACCACAATAAACCTAGCCAAATGCTAAACGAGATAAAGATCACCAAACAAGAAGTAGCAAAGTTGTCATGCAAACCTACTGCTAACAGGGTTTAAACTTTTAATGAAAGCATTAAGTTTCTACTTCCACACAGGAAACTCAATAGCTGCATACTGAGATAATTACAACTTCATTGGGGGTATAACGGATGTTTCTATGTTGGTTTTGATATCACTGGGAGATCGTATTATAAACAGTCTGGCAGACGATAAAATGGCACACAAAAAAAATACAGACTTGCTCTAAAAAAAGAATCACCCACAACCCCTAATGTTGTGACCGAGTATTTCCACAGGAAACCAGAAGTATATATTCTTGAAATACGCATTAACGTGTTTAAAAAAAAAAAAAAATTTAATACTTTAATTCAGCAAGGATGAAGCATTAAATTAAACAAAATGTTTCTTTTTTTTAAATACTCATCAAAGAATCCTGAAAAAAGTCACATTTTAACATTGTTAACAATCAGAAATGTTTCTTGAGCAGCAATTCAGCATATTAGAATGATTTCTGAAGGATCATGTGACACTGAAAACCAATGTTTATAAGAACACACTGTTTACCCAAAGGCACAAACAACTGCTAAGTAGGCAGAACTCTGTCTCCTTCATAAACAGCAGAAGGAAATGAAATGACAAAATAGGCTTGTTTCACTGACCAAAACAGGAAACACCATTAACTCTCCTCTCGAGTCATAATCTCCCTACGTTCTCTTTGAGTCTCTGTGCTTCTGCACCTGTGCTGTTCCTTCGTCATCACAAAGAGCCATGTCTCCTGCGTAACACATCTGAACACAGCTGTCTCTGTCAGCAGTGGAGGGGCTGAGGTTCATGTTCTAACCAATGCTGAGGTGCCACCTCATCCCATCACGTTCTTCAGCCAAAAATCAATATATTGTCTCATTATTTACAATTATGCAGTTGAACAAATAAATGTATGGTATTTTCATGGTGCTTTTTTGGTTACTCTACCCTGTTTTCTTTTTCAACTAGTCAATTTAGTGAGTTTTGGACTGCTAGTCAGTCACTAAATAATGCTCTTTCTGTTATCTGACAGAAAATATGTAAATGGGAACAGCTTTTATTGGACATGCGGCTATATATTGTATTAAAATACAGTATATGAGCACGGATTGAGAGTAAACGGATGTAAAGACAGTTGCCGCATTACGTCATCTAGCGTTATTAAGATACTTTTTGAGCACTGTTGGAATGACACAAGGGTGGGTGAGTAATAAATGACTTTTTTTTTATTCATGAGTGAATTATTTGCTATCTCACATGCTACCCGTCCTGCAATTCTCTCTCAAGTTGCATCATGTGTTGCGTCATGCCAGATGTCCACAAGACTGCAAAAATTATAATCTGGGCAAATCTCGGAAGTGAAAGGACGGGTGTGTGTCATGTGCCTCATGCACCGTAAAACCGGCGTACACTTGTTCCCTAGAAATGCTTCATGCTGCCTTCCAGTCACATTCACTTACCTGCTGTGGTCTGGCTTTTATATTACATCACATTGTTCACCCAGACTTTTGCTTCAGGACCCAGATTTTACATCAAGTGACCCAACAAAATACAAAAACTCTATCGCACAAATGTAACAAGATATTTAAAAAATGGACTGTACGTATATATATATATATATATATATATATATATATGGACGGTATATATACAGGTCCTTCTCAAAAAATTAGCATATTCTGATAAAGTTAATTATTTTCCATAATGTAATGATAAAAATTAAACTTTCATATATTTTAGATTCATTGCACACCAACTGAAACATTTCAGGTCTTTTATTGTTTTAATACTGATGATTTTGACATACAGCTCATGAAAACCCAAAATTCCTATCTCAAAAAATTAGCATATCATGAAAAGGGTCTCTAAACGAGCTATTAACCTAATCATCTGAATCAACTAATTAACTCTAAACACCTGCAAAAGATTCCTGAGGCTTTTAAAAACTCCCAGCCTGTTTCATTACTCAAAACTGCAATCATGTGTAAGACTGCCGACCTGACTGCTGTCCAGAAGGCCATCATTGACACCCTCAAGCAAGAGGGTAAGACAGAAAGAAATTTCTGAACAAATAGGCTGTTCCCAGAGTGCTGTATCAAGGCACCTCAGTGGGAAGTCTGTGGGAAGGAAAAAGTGTGGCAAAAAACGCTGCACAACGAGAAGAGGTGACCGGACCCTGAGGAAGATTGTGGAGAAGGACCGATTCCAGACCTTGGGGGACCTGCGGAAGCAGTGGACTGAGTCTGGAGTAGACACATCCAGAGCCACCGTGCACAGGCGTGTGCAGGAAATGGGCTACAGGTGCCGCATTCCCCAGGTCAAGCCACTTTTGAACCAGAAACAGCGGCAGAAGCGCCTGACCTGGGCTACAGAGAAGCAGCACTGGACTGTTGCTCAGTGGTCCAAAGTACTTTTTTCGGATGAAAGCAAATTTTGCATGTCATTCGGAAATCAAGGTGCCAGAGTCTGGTGGAAGACTGGGGAGAAGGAAATGCCAAAATGCCAGAAGTCCAGTGTCAAGTACCCACAGTCAGTGATGGTCTGGGGTGCCATGTCAGCTGCTGGTGTTGGTGCACTGTGTTTTATCAAGGGCAGGGTCAATGCAGCTAGCTATCAGGAGATTTTGGAGCACTTCATGCTTCCATCTGCTGAAAAGCTTTATGGAGATGAAGATTTCATTTTTCAGCACGACCTGGCACCTGCTCACAGTGCCAAAACCACTGGTAAATGGTTTACTGACCATGGTATTACTGTGCTCAATTGGCCTGCCAGCTCTCCTGACCTGAACCCCATAGAGAATCTGTGGGATATTGTGAAGAGAAAGTTGAGAGACGCAAGACCCAACACTCTGGATGAGCTTAAGGCCGCTATCGAAACATCCTGGGCCTCCATAACACCTCAGCAGTGCCACAGGCTGATTGCCTCCATGCCACGCCGCATTGAAGCAGTCATTTCTGCGAAAGGATTCCCGATCAAGTATTGACTATTGAGTGCATAACTGAACATAATTATTTGAAGGTTGACTTTATTTTTTGTATTAAAAACACTTATTTTATTGGTCGGATGAAATATGCTAATTTTTTTAGACAGGAATTTTGGGTTTTCATGAGCTGTATGCCAAAATCATCAGTATTAAAACAATAAAAGACCTGAAATATTTCAGTTGGTGTGCAATGAATCTTAAATATATAAAAGTTTAATTTTTATCATTACATTATGGAAAATAATGAACTTTATCACAATATGCAAATTTTTTGAGAAGGACCTGTATTATATATGTGTGTGTGTGTGTATGTGGAATAGAAATCTTTTGTAACATTATAAATGTATAGTAATTATTATATGTGTATAGTCGTGGTTTTATACACTTTTTGGGTCATAATAACCAGTCTATGGTCATAACTCACCAATTAAGAAGCACTGCAATCAGTCAAAAACAAATCATAACATCCGTTTCATATACACAACAAAATCATTTAAGGAAAGGAAAATATTATTGCTGTGGTTTTTCCATGGAAGGTTACACCCTTGTCAATGAATAGATGTTTTTACACAGTATTCGTAGCCTGGTCTCATGTCACACAATCTACAAGGCAAGACTGTATAATGCTGCACAACAGAAGCCCATGAGCACAGTATCATGTGGAGACCAATATGGTGAAGGTAATTACTAATGATTACTCCACTACACGGGCCGAGAGCCGCCAGAAACGATGCAATGACTCAAGATTAACTAAAGATTGATGGGTGGCACGATGCTTTTTAGAGGTTCACATCGGACTGGCTGAATGCATTAGAGCACTACGGTCTACGGCTTTTACATCTAATACACAAAAACAGACATCTCACAGTCAGGTGCATGGGGAACTATTCTTACTATAACACATACTATAGTTATTGGGATATCAAAAAAAGTAAATTTTTTGGACACGGTGCCATGGTAAAACTATAATTCAGACACAACTATGATGGTAATACCATGATGGTATTTATTGAAATACTGTACTAAAAATAAATAAAAATTAATAAACAAAAAAGTATCACAATATATGAAAATTATACATAGGCTTCCTTGATACCGAATGATTACCATGTTATAGCATGTTATTTGCCACAACAACAAAAATGCTACCCTTACGAAAAGTACTTTGGCAATACCATTACCGTGTTTTCTGAACATGTTCCAAGATAAAATCATATTTTTCCCATATTTACCATGGTCTTCTTCACTATGATGTTTTATATATAGGCAGGCTATCAAAGCAGACTGCACACACACGATGCCACGATGTATAGTATAGTTCACTGGCAATACACACTTCCTATTATATTAAGTACTGTCTGCATGCAATACTATACATGATGCATTATTAATTTAGCATGTAAGCACAGAGTAGGCTATACAGTGTGATGTGAAGTGTGACCTTGTTCAGATGGGATGCGCACAGCTGCTCGTGTTCCTGCCGGTACAATAGACTGACCGGTGTGTGTGGAGAGGCGTGTGCGCGCGTCTGGATGACACACATGAACCCGTTTCACCCGATCTTTCTCCTCTCGTGAACGTACCTGTGAAGTGCTGTAGGGTCGGTACCGTGCCCTGGACCCACAGGCTGAGCACTTGCTGCACCGATAGATTAATGGAATAATCCTTATTCATTTTCGCGCTGGGCGGCTGGAGCACGGCCCTCTTGCTCAGATATCTGACCGAGGATGGGGGACACATGGAGCCGGTTCACCGGGGCCGCGGCTCGCTGGAGGAGGATGGCGGAGCGCCGGTCCGTCTGATCAGCTGCTGCTCAGGGGCCATGATGGGTACGGCTGACACACACACGCACACGCACACACACACACACACACTCTCTCTCTCTCACTCACCACACACATTCACATACACGCGCACACGCGCACACACACACCAGCAGCGCTTCTGGATGGCCCTTAAAGGCGCAGCGCTCTTAAAGGGAGGTGAACATCACATTTTACACTACGATCAAATACAGAAGTTTATGAATGAATGATAACATTTTTTTTTACTTAATTCAGCTATATATATATATATAGGCTATAGTTAAACTAACTATTAAATAGTACTACTATCATTTTAGTAATTTAAGCAATATTAAATAATGTAACAACAATAGTAACTGTTGTTGTTAATAATAATAATAATGCTTTGATTAGGCATAGATAATTAAGTTAAACCAAATGCTATACAATTTGTATATTTAAATGGCAATTATATAAAATATGAAATAAATACGACTACTACTACTACTACTACAAGCCTAATAATATTAGCAATTTCTGCAAAATTAAATAACAATAATATTAATAAAAAACAATAATAATTGTTATTGTGGTTATTAATATTATTATATAATAGGATAATAATAATAACGCTTTAAGTTAAGTTAAACCAGATTCTATATAAAATAATATGAATTTGTATATTTAAATATCAATTAAATATTAAATATTACATAGGCCTACTTATTATTATTACTGCTAATAATAATAACAACAACAACACTAATAAATTAATAATAATGATTTGATTACATACAACTTATTGATATATTATGTGATTTGATTTTTATTACATAAGCTGCTATACTACTACTACATTAATAATCTTCATCATCATCATCATCTACACTCACCGGCCACTTTATTAGGTACCCCATGCTAGTAACGGGTTGGACCCCCTTTTGCCTTCAGAACTGCCTCAATTCTTCGTGGCATAGATTCAACAAGGTGCTGGAAGCATTCCTCAGGGAGTTTGGTCCATATTGACATGATGGCATCACACAGTTGCCGCAGATTTGTCGGCTGCACATCCATGATGCGAATCTCCCGTTCCACCACATCCCAAAGATGCTCTATTGGGTTGAGATCTGGTGACTGTGGAGGCCATTTTAGTACAGTGAACTCATTGTCATGTTCAAGAAACCAATTTGAAATGATTAGAGCTTTGTGACATGGTGGAAGTAGCCATCAGAGGATGGGTACATGGTGGCCATAAAGGGATGGACATGGTCAGAAACAATGCTCAGGTAGGCCGTGGCATTTAAACGATGCCCAATTGGCACTAAGGGGCCTAAAGTGTGCCAGGAAAACATCCCCCACACCATTACACCACCACCACCAGCCTGCACAGTGGTAACAAGGCATGATGGTTCCATGTTCTCATTCTGTTTACGCCAAATTCTGACTCTAACATCTGAATGTCTCAACAGAAATCGAGACTCATCAGACCAGGCAACATTTTTCCAGTCTTCAACTGTTCAATTTTGGTGAGCTCTTGCAAATTGTAGCCTCTTTTTCCTATTTGTAGTGGAGATGAGTGGTACCCGGTGGGGTCTTCTGCTGTTGTAGCCCATCCGCCTCAAGGTTGTGCGTGTTGTGGCTTCACAAATGCTTTGCTGCATACCTCGGTTGTAACGAGTGGTTATTTCAGTCACTGTTGCCCTTCTATCAGCTCGAACCAGTCTGGCCATTCTCCTCTGACCTCTGGCATCAACAAGGCATTTCCGCCCACAGAACTGCCGCTCACTGGATGTTTTTTCTTTTTCGGACCATTCTCTGTAAACCCTAGAGATGGTTGTGCGTGAAAATCCCAGTAGATTAGCAGTTTCTGAAATACTCAGACCAGCCCTTCTGGCACCAACAATCATCACCTTTCTTCCCCATACTGATGCTCGATTTGAACTGCAGGAGATTGTCTTGACCATGTCTACATGCCTAAATGCACTGAGTTGCCGCCATGTGATTGGCTGCTTAGAAATTAAGTGTTAACGAGCAGTTGGACAGGTGTACCTAATAAAGTGGCCGGTGAGTGTACAATATTTTCTAGTCTTGCCTCCTCTTACTGAGTGAGAAAAGTTGTTGCTATTATGGAACATTTTTCCCAAATAAAACCAATCCATTTTTTGGAAACATACTAAGTATAGATTTAAATGCTATCTAAGTGTAGACGTTAAGAAGTAATATTAATGTCTGAGCATTTCCTAAATAAATTGAAGATGCTTTCTTAAGCTCCAGGACAATGAAGTAAATTCCCAGAACAGGTTCATGGAGTCGGATTAAAACGTAAATATGAGATTTTCAGTGACATAAGCGGAGCAGCTTTGTTCCTCAAACACACACCCTGATCATTTTCCCACTATTTATCGGCCTGACATTTGAGCCTACACTTGTTGTATTACCTTTCAAACCCAAACCTCTCCTCATTGTAAAAACGCTCCATTGTAGGAACAATATGAAATGATGTCTGAATCGCAGGTCACGTGAGGAGCCCAGAACACACACCAAAGGACTGGATGGATTAGTTTGAAGGCAAACACCTGACACATGATCAG